GATTCAAATGATTTAAATTGAATCAATTTTAACTGAATCAAACATTTTAAACTGAATCAATTTAAAATGAATCAAATGATTCAAACAGAGTTTTAAGTTGAACAGAAATAATCAAAACGCAGTAAAGAGAGAAACTGATTTCTCTTCAGATGTTTGTCAGCTTCAGTCCTGTTTTATGTCCTGATCAGAATTGGTGTCACTCTGGTTTAAGATCTCAGAGTGGAACTGGACCGGACCGGACCGGACCGGACCCTCCAGGCAGAACCTCACAAACACACCAACGTCTGGCACTCAGTTTATTTTAAGGCTTTTCATTAAAAACAAAGGAACTTAACTTCAGAAACATTTAAAAATGTTCTGATTTTAACCACAACATTTAGAAAAATAAGCCTGCAGCTGTTTGTTATTGTTTGTTTGTTGTTGTTTGTTGTTGTTGGTTGTGGTTCTGCAGCTCGAGCAGCTGAAACTTTAGTTTCCAGCAGAGAAGAGGAGAAATCTTACAGTTTGTATTTAAGGTCAGAGAGCAGCAGGTGAGGAGCGTGTGATGTCGGAGCCCACCTGAACGCACCACCTTCACCTGCTGACAAACACCTGAACAACACAGAATGATTGACAGGTAGAGGCGGGGCACTTCCTGTCTGTTCACTCAAACACAGTGATGCAGGTCTGCAGCAGGACACGCCCCAGAGGCGGAGCCTCCTCCTCTACGCTGGGCCCTGGACCTGTACAGAGAGCCAGGCGGGTCCAGACCAGGACCAGGTCCTGGACCGGGTCCAGGACCGGGTCCAGGAGGTCACCGTGACGAGCAGCGCTCCTTGCTGACGCAGTCGTCCTGACTGGTGGAGTCTCCGTTCGCCGTCATCCCGCAGGTCCGCCTCTTCTTCCTGCGGTGAGACGCCACCTCGCCCTCAGAGCCCGAGTCCGCCTGCAGGACAGAACCAGAACCACAGTTACAGGACCTGATTCACAGGACCGGTTCTGACAGAATCGGGCCGGTTCAGAACTCACATCAGAGTTGGAGTCYGACGAGCTGGATGAAGACGAGGATGAAGAGTCACTGGAGCTGTCCGAGGCGATCCCGGTGGACTCCTGCAGGTCCACTTTGTCAGCCAGAACCGCCAGGTCCGGACGTTCCTGCTTCAAAACACTGACCCAACAAGAACAGAGAGGCGGGGCTTAATATGGTACCTGCACAGGTGAGACGGTTCTGACCCTGATGACCCGGGTCAGAACCGGGTCAGAAGCTTTGTGTCGGTCAGGTAKAGAGGACTGATCTTTGTAAAGAAACTGTTTTAATGTTTTGTCTGTTGAAATAAAGGTTAAATAAATAAATAAAATTTGTTTAGAAGCTAAAAACAACAAACAAACTGAAGATAAACATAAACAAAGAGGAAGAGTCTGGTACGGGTCAGGCAGAACCTTACCGGTACCACTTCCTGGACAGTTTGGGTCGTCCTCGGACCGTCTTGTGCCAGACGATGGGAAAGTTTGTGGAGCTGGCAAAGTTCTGAGTCACGGCGATCGTTGTGTCCAAGTTCAGAACGACGTGCCACCAGCCGCCTGAAAAACAAACAAATGACATCATCACTGGGTCCAAACCCCAGACACAGGACAGAACCAACCAGAACCACTTTGATTGATGGGTTCATTGGGACAAAACCYGTTCTGAGAGTCCAACCCTTCAGAGACCACTTTGAGATGACAGGAAGTGTGGTTCCATGGAGGGATCTGGATCTGGATCAGGAGTTCAGGGTTCTGTTGACTCACCAGAACCACCAAACGGATCTGACAGGTGGTTGTCTCTGAGCTGCAGACGGTCAGGGTCTAATTCCTGGAGCTGAGGATTTAATCTCATCAGCTCTGATGGCTTTAGATGAATGTAGGTCAGGTCTACAGAACCAGAACACAGGTGGGTCTCTGCCGTGTCACTGTGCATCTTTATAAAAACAACCTGTTTGTTTGTTTACAAAAACAACCTGTTTGTTTGTTTATAAAAACAACCTGTTTGTTTATAAAAACAACCTGTTTGTTTGTTTACAAAAACAACCTGTTTGTTTGTTTATAAAAACAACCTGTTTGTTATTTACTGATTATTAGAGTCAAACTGAAAATAATCCAGTAAATCTAAATAATCATAAAGTTTTTTCTTTTCTAAAACAAATCAAAGTGATGTTTTCAAACAGGAAGCACCTGACTGAGGTTAACCGGGGTCAGGTGAGCTCAGGTGAGCTCAGGTAAACAGGAAGTGACTCTGGTGTGGTATCAGTGGGACCAGCAGGTGGAGCTGTCAGTCCAGACTCTCTGCACTCACCTGGAACAAAGACGGTCTCTCCAGGTCTCTGCAGGATCTCCAGAGGTCTYAACTCCTGAGGCCAGGTGGGCTGCTGGGTCCGGGGGTAGACCACGCTGAACCAGGTGATAGCCTCGTCCTGCTGGTTCCCCCCGTCCTCCCGGGTCACTTTGATCAGCTCTCGTGGCGTGTTGGTGGGGAACAGACACCACCTCTTGTGGCCCTGGACCAGGGCGTTCCAGGCGCTGGTCCCCAGAGGGTCGATGTGGATCCCGGTGCCAGAGCGGGCCGGACCCATCACAAACCACCTGAGAGGATTCCAAAGTAAACAACAACAAGTAAACAACTGTTTACAGAAACAAAAACTGGATCAAAGAACAGAAACAGTCTCTACAGATAAAGACTGGCCCTGCTGGACACAAGTCTGGACTTAGACCTGCAGGTCCTGCTGGACACAAGTCTGGACTGAGACCTGCAGGTCCTGCTGGACACAAGTCTGGACTGAGACCTGCAGGTCCTGCAGGACACAAGTCTGGACTGAGACCTGCAGGACTAAACCCAGACCTGTAAGGCGGTCGGCGTTTCTCTCCTGCGAACTGGAACAGGTCGTCTCTGAAGAACACGGGGACTTCGTAGTCCTCCAGCAGCTTGCGGCGCTTGGCGTGCTCGCCGTAGCTGCTGTCGAAGATGTAGAGCGGACTGTCGTCCTTGGTGGACTCCAGGTACTCCACGTAGTACTTCATCTTCATCTTCACAGAGTAGCCGTCGTTGTCCTCCCCGCACTTGAACTTCTGGTTGCGGTATTTGCGCTTGAGGCGCTCCAGGGTCCACTTGTCGCGGGCGGGCCAGCTCTCCTGGCAGTTGAGCAGAACCACGGGTTTGTAGGGCCGCTCGAAGCGCTGGATGAACTCCTCTGGACTGAGACGCAGAGCGTCCACGCGCTCCACATTGTCCTGGAACAGAGGACAGACTCAGAGACCAGGACACGGAACAGGTTCTGACTGGAACATTAAGATCTGCAGGAACTGGATCCAGAACCAACAAAAACACTCAGATAACCAGAGGTGTCAAGTAACTAAGTACAAATACTTTGTTACTTTAAGTACAAATAGCTGTTTAGGAGCTGAAGTTTTTGTTTTGCTATTGTTTGAAACTATTATTATAATTATTATAATTAAGTAATATATATATATATATATATGTGTGTGTGTGTGTGTGTGTGTGTGTGTGTGTGTGTGTTAAATAGGGGCAGATACGATTTTTTCTTTCTGCTACCTTTCATTTTATTTGATATGTACTTTTTGTTCATTCGTTTTTAAGTTAAATGAATAAATATTGTGAAAAAATTGGTTATTTATATTTTAGTGGATTATTATTTTTCAGCCTACTTTATACTTCTAACAATTTAATTAAATTATCTGTATTTTCTGCTTCTTACTTTTTAAAAATGCAAAKAGTTTTTCATATCTGTTTAACTTTGATTTGTTTTTCTTCCATCTTTAGCTGCTAAAGGCTGCTGTTAGCCTTTAGCAGCTAAAGGCTGCTGTTAGCCTTTAGCAGGAGCTAGCCTGTTAGCTCAGTTACCTTCACGGAGCGGTGCGACACGTCAAACGTCTCGTGATAACCGTGTTTGATCCAGTCTAACGACTCCTTCAGCTCCGGCCTGGCACTCCGTTTCGCCTCTTTTATCCTCTTCTTACTTTTATGGTTCATTTCTTCCTCCTGCGTGTTTGTTAGCGCAGAACAGCTATCAAGCTAACCCGGGAGCTAACATTCACAGCCAGCTCTGACTCCTCCTTCCTGCGCGCTCATCAGATCAAACACACGCGCTGAGCGGCGTCTTCAGAACCTTCTGGGTTTTATTTCTGTAAATATAAACTCAGCTTTCAGCTTCCTGCCGCCCTGAAACTTTAACAAACTGCTAACAGCGGCGGACACAATGCGTTTACAACTGATCACCCAACTAAACCCGCCCCAAATCAACCTGCTCGAAGCTGATTGGCTGAAACACCAACAAGAATTCAAACGCTGATTGGATTGGCTGCTGGAGCCAACTTTATTTGACGTCATAGACACGCGTCCATTGTAGAAGAAGAAACAGCGCGACGGTCAGAAAAATCTCGATTTTTATTTAATTATAATTAATCGTATTTCAAGCCGAGGAATAAAAGTGACACCAGGGTAATTAGTTAGCTCGTGTTAGCATGAGTTAGCGCCATGATGGAGCAGGAGGAAGCAGGAAGGAGTGCTGCTGCTGCTGATAAAGTTTTCACGTTTGAAGATAAAAACACGGAAGAGAAACTTGTTGTCTCCATTCCTGAGGTCCGTTTCTTCTCTAACTATTATTCATGAGCAAAATCAGCTGCTGGATAAATCTATAGTAGTTTTTAAAAAATAATCTTTTTCATTTTTAACTATTTTTGTTAAAACTGACTTCAGTCCTCCATGGACTATTTAGCGCCGCCCACCGGAAACTGTGCGATGTTTTTTGGGATTGTTAGGTTGGATTGTTGCGCGTCTTAAAGTGTTTGTTTTGATTGATAATMTACCAACTTTTAAGGTTATACTGTTGTTTATCATTTCATTATAAATATAATGCATTTATTACTGTAATCTCACAATAATCTCAGTATCTAATTAGTTTCCAGAGAAAACCACAGTAACAATATAATAATATTATTATAATTAACATATAACTTCGAGGCAGGCCGACCTATGATTTATTAATCCTGAGTATAAAACCTTCATGTTGGCCACACATCTAATGTAGCACAAAAATGAATTTAATGTGTGTTTTTTTAAATGCATTTGTTGTTGTGATGTGTGTGTCCTCCTGCATTATTGATAATAAATAAACCGTACATCATTTAATTTAGGTGTTCAGGTTTTAAGCTGGACCATAGCTACAGTATATATTTGTAATATTAAATGTTTATAAATATTTGTGTTAAATGTACTGCAGCAAACAGCATCTCATAGATTCAGGTTAATTTCATGGATCTGACGCAGCTTCCTGAACGAGTCCACCTCGTTAACAAAGTCCACCTCGTTAACAAAGTCCACCTCGTTAACAAAGTTATTAATTTATCTGAGTCAAAGTTTTCTTTACATGATTAGAGTTTTATCTTGTCTTCACTAAAACAGGATGTTCAACTTGTTCACTTCCTTTATTAAAAGTAAACTTTATTAAAAAGTGGAAAATTCAAGTTTTTACGTGTTAAATGTTTTTATTTTGTATGTGAACACGCTGACTCTGGTCCTGCTCCTGGTCCAGGTTCTGGACCCGCAGCACGGGATGCACGTGTGGCCCTCTGCTGTGGTTCTGGCCCAGTACCTGTGGACCCATCGGGCCGAGCTGAAAGGCAGGACGGTTCTGGAGGTGAGGACTTCCTGGATATGTTCAAGTCCTGGTGTCCAGAGTGTTGTGAACCCGGTTCTGTCCTCAGCTGGGTGCAGGTGTGGGTCTGCCAGGTGTGGTGGCGGCGCTGTGCGGTGCGCAGGTGATCCTGTCCGACAGCTCGGACTCACCTGAGTGTCTGCAGAATCTGAGGAGGAGCTGCCGGGCTAACGGGCTGCACCGAGTCCCCGTGCTGGGACTCACCTGGGGGGACGTGTCCCCGGACCTCATGGCGCTCCCAGAGCTGGACGTGGTCCTGGGATCAGACGTCTTCTACGATCCGGAGGGTCAGTGTCTGTCAGAACTTTTCACCTTCAGGTCCGGTTCTGTCTGAGAGCCAGGTGTGTCCCCGGTCTCAGGTCCATTTTCTGTCCCCTTACAGACTTTGAAGACGTTCTGGTGACGTTCGTCTGTCTCCTCAGGAAGAACCCCAAGGCTCAGTTCTGGTCTACGTACCAGGTCAGAAGGTAGGTTCTGGTCCACAGAGTCCGTCTCGTGGTCTCGTTGTTTGAACGCTCGTTAACCTGCTCTGCTTCCAGTGCCGACTGGTCCCTGCAGGTTCTGCTCCACAGGTGGGACCTGAGCTGTGTCCAAGTCCAGCTGGACGAGTTTGGTGCAGATAAACCTGAACTGGCCGGGTCCGGTCTGCCGGGGAGCCACAGCATCCAGATGATGATCATCAGCCAGGAGGAGGGGAGGGGTTAACCAATCAGAGTCCTTGGTTAGGTCTGCTGGACCAGAACCCAGACCTAAACCCAGTGTTGGACCAGAATCCAGACCTAGACTCAGTGTTGGACCAGAATCCAGACCTAGACCCAGTGTTGGACCAGAATCCAGACCTAGACTCAGTGTTGGACCAGAACCCAGACCTAGACCCAGTGTTGGACCAGAATCCAGATCTAAACCCAGTGTTGGACCAGAACCCAGACCTAGACCCAGTGTTGGACCAGAATCCAGACCTAGACTTAGTTGGACTCTCTGAGTGGATCTGGACCCAGAAGCACCTGAACCTCTGTGAAAAGTGTGAGGCCTCCTGTGAGCAGCAGGGGGCGGAGTTTCACTGCAAAGAACCCAGGTTCTGTTGGATCAGGGTCTGTGGTTCTGTTGGATCAGGGTCTGTGGTTCTGTTGGATCAGGGTCTGTGGTTCTGTTGGATCAGGGTCTGTGGTTCTGTGTGGTTCTNCTGTTGGACACTCTGTCTCCCTGTTGGACACTCTGTCTCTCTGTTGGACACTCTTGTCTCTCTGTTGGACACTCTGTCTCTCTGTTGGACACTCTGTCTCCCTGTTGGACACTCTGACTCCTGTCTCTGTTGGACACTCTGTCTCTCGGTTGGACACTCTGTCTCTCGGTTGGACACTCTGTCNTCTGTTGGACACTCTGTCTCTCTGTTGGACATTCTGTTGGACACTCTTGTCTCTCTGTTGGACACTCTTGTCTCTCTGTTGGACACTCTTGTCTCTCTGTTGGACACTCTTGTCTCTCTGTTGGACACTCTGTCTCCCTGTTGGACACTCTGTCTCCCTGTTGGACACTCTTGTCTCTCTGTTGGACACTCTTGTCTCTCTGTTGGACACTCTTGTCTCTCTGGACACACTGTCTCTCTGTTGGACACTCTGTCTCCCTGTTGGACACTCTTGTCTCTCTGTTGGACACACTGTCTCCCTGTTGGACACTCTGTCTCTCTGTTGGACATTCTGTTGGACACTCTTGTCTCTCTGTTGGACACACTGTCTCCCTGTTGGACACTCTGTCTCCCTGTTGGACACTGTCTCTCTGTTGGACACTCTGTCTCCCTGTTGGACACTCTGTCTCTCTGTTGGACACTCTTGTCTCTCTGTTGGACACTGTCTCCCTG